GCCAGATTTAGGACTGTAATTTTATTTAATGAGGATGGAGTGTTTGGGGGATGAATAGCGTATACGTTAAAAACAATTAATTTTATGGAAGACACCTGGTAGGTGGAGGTAAATAGCCGTAATAACTTTGCTAACAGCACTTAATGGTTCATGCTTTAGCTTCCTGTCGACCCTCGACAAAAGTGCAGAGACATCACGGTCTGCCTCTGAGATGGCAAAGATGCATTCAGCAGTGCTCATAGAGAACAGCTTTGTTCCCTTCTTGAATTCCTTTGGTTCAGTCCTCCTACGGTTGTATTGTTTTCAAAAGCAGCGTTTGTTGCCGACAATGTGTTTTACGCTACCACGATCAAATGTAAGCCGTACTTGGACCTTCTTGCTACACATAGCTCTACCTTTAATCATTACCGACATAGTCATCAGAGCGGGGTCGATGTTGATGATGGATTACCCGATCTCAATCTAACGAGAACATATGTGAGATCAACTCGGTCGGACCGTAATAGAAATCTCCAGAAGGCGTGTAAAACTGTTCTGATGGAGGAATGGAGTCATGTACCTTGAGAAAGTATCAAAGGATTAATTGGCAACACGAATGAACGAATAGATGCTTTGATATTATCCACGGTTTTTAGAGTGGCGAGCACATTTGGTAGAACAGTTTCTATAAACACAGAGATTTTTTCTACTGGTACAGTTTTCATCCATAATAATTCATGATAGATGATCGAGCAGTACAGATCGATTTCAAAATAACATTTTACTCCCATCACAAGCCGCAACAGTCGGTAATGTTCTTCCAGTCGACTTACCCGTTTTTCTTTCCACTGCTGAATAGCTTTCCGTTTAGCCATTTCCAATTCCTGCAATCTCGTCCACCATATGTCGTGTTGTTTTACTTCCTCGGGGCTACGAGTTCCCAATGACTCGGCTACTTCGTGGTAAAATGAGAACCTTTCCGTTCTCCTATCCTCATCGCTGTCTTCAGCGTTCACGTGGACCGTCAGCTGGTCTAGTCGAGGTGCTTTCACGGTCTCTTGATTTCCCCCAACACTTGTTTCATCTTCGCCTGATTGAGACAATTCACGCGTGTCGTTACTCATCGGATTTGGGTTGTGGTTGCACATTTTTCCGTTCTCTTTTTTCATCCCTCTTCTGGTTCGAAGACGGAGAAATGTGGCCTGTTCCTGATCTGTCCAACCCCCAAGTCGTCCACCAAATGTGTCCAGATAGCGCTGCATCGAATTCAAACAAGTTAGAGTTGAATAAATGAACTGTAAAAAAGCACAGCATTCGTGGGTAATTTACTATGCCCACTGTCGGATCAGGTCCAGCACTTTTCAATATGAAACAAGCTGAGGTTGAAGAAAATTTCTTACCAAGTCAAAAAAAGAAACCAATGAGAATTTCAGGTTTTTGTTTAAACAATCTAGTCTGATTTGCTGTCGTTCGGCTACGAATTTGAGCTCCCCCCCCCTCCCCAAGATCATGATACGAAATTCGGGGTAACAAGAGAGTAAATGACTTGTTACTTTACCCCGTTATATGGTCCAGTGTCTCAAACCATGGATTAGACTGATTCCAAGGTGCGCCAATCAGGAAATCTAACACTATCTTAGGTGACCCAGCCCTGGTGGTCAGAATTTTCGTTTCCTCATGCACGGTAGTGGTTTACGCACTCTTGGTCGAGCAAAGTCGGAAAATCCATCTTTGCACCGATGAAACTCGACTTAGCTGTATACCCTAGACGAGAGCACTATGGCCGAGTAGTATCTGGCCTGGCAAAATAGAGAACTGAATTAGACATTTGCTGGGCTTTCACAATCATCAATAATCAAGTCCCACCAAATCCTTTGAGAGTGATAAGGTTTGTACGGTTGGAAATAGCAAGAAGGGTCATTAGTCTCTGTTTCACGAAGTCGGAACCGTGAGCACAGAGAAAGTTGCCCAAAAACGATAAACAATCCGTCTTGTATAAACGACAATGGCATCCTATAGTTAATTTTGTCTGCGTAATGCGACAATCGCATCCATCCACAGATTAGGTCTGACTCGTTGGAACAATTGATTCACCCACCCCCATTTTTTAGTTCGACCCTAATGAATTTTGTTGCCTATGAATGTGATCAGACAGGCAGGAGAATGTAGACATTGTAGACATCTGTGTTTGCATACACTGTACTCTCTGATTCAAACTACAATGGGCGTATACGGTGATACGGTGAATTGAAGTCACTTCAAAAAACGGTGTTTTTTTTGTTTCTCGATTCGAATCCGAGCGTGAAATTAGGAGTCAGGATGGAAATTACATCACACGCACAAAATGTGCCTCGGGATAAGTTGAGATTTGTCACGATGATGGACATTGGCGGAGCACATAAGAATAACAAATCACTCGATTACATCTTATTCTTCTTCGTCCAAAATGACCGCATACACACGCGCACGCGCAGGAGTAGTCATCCGCGGAATGAATTAATTCACCATATATATACATATATATATATGTAAATATGTGGTGATTGCTCATGAACTATGAACTCTTTTGTTTTATTGAACACGATATCCTTGTATATTTCTAATTTCCGCCTATTACAATTCCATTCCGCCTCTGAGNTTCTGATTTCGTTTCGAGTCCTAGTTCTGGGTCGGACCACTAGTGCGCGGAATCCGATACGTATACGAAATACTAGTCTGAGTACGAACCACAACAACTGGTGTCGCGGTCATTTTGAACCAATGGAGTCCTGTAATTCGGAGAACTTGAATATACATGCCAGTACGCGCGAAGTCGAAGACTATCTTGAACGGTTCGAGATTTGGTGCATTACGCGAAAGGGACTCGATGGAGAACGCAAAACGGCTTATTTCATAACGGTCATCGGGAAGGATGCATACTCATTGTTGAAGAATTTGGCATTTCCTGACTCTCGTATCTCGTTATCATATGAATCCCTGAAAACCTCGCTGCTGAAGCATCTACAGCCGGCTAATTTCGAAGCTGCTGAACGAGCCA